TAATTAAAGTATAGAAAATAAGAAATAAAAATTTTGAGAAAATATAACAATAGAATAAAATTTCTCTCTTATCAAAAAAAAGAAAAAAGAAAAATATGGGATAAAAGAGTTTCAGAGATAGTCAGTTATATTATTTTTGGGGGGTTTTGTGCAGCTTGTGGTATTTATCAGCTATCAAAATTTGTAATTCATTGCATCTTCCCATTCTAAAGAAATAGTCCCTCTCATGCCTAATTTTTTAGCTTTAATTTTATTTTAGTTTTAATTTTATATTCTCTTTTATTAAAGAGTCTGTGCAAATTATATAAGCTTTAAGCCTTACAAGACTTGGATTTACCCTTAGTGGCATTTTCTCTCAAGTGTGAAAACAATCTTTGTGACAACATCCACTGCATAGTTAAACCTCCTAAGTAAAACTGCCTGCTTTCCAGATACACCTTGTGCTTTTTCATCTGATAGCCATTTCATCACCCCTACCGGGAGTAGTACGGAACTAAATGGAAAGCGATGAGAGATGATGTAGTTAAGCCTCTAATTCAGGTTAAAGACTTCTGACTAAATATCCTGCACTGAAGCTTGAAAAATACCTGTATTGCTCTTCATTTTATTTTTTTCTTTTTATCCACTTTATATTTTTATAGTAGCATTGGAAATTTGTACAATTTGATCTATGTATAAGTGATTGTTTAAAACCAACAAGTAGAATCTATACTGTTTATATAACTGCAGTAATGATCCTGAAGTAGTATGTTCACTTAAAGTAATGAGTTTGTTAGTTAGCCATTTTAGCCAAAAGAGTAACTTTAAGACTCCGTTTAGTTTAAATTTGCTACTTTGGGGGAAATAAAGAAAACAAAATCAAAGATACACACACACACACACACACATACACACACACACACACACACACACACACACACACACACACGCAGAGGTACTTACAGTTTCTTACGAATTTTCATTTGCCAAGTGAAACCAGATCAATAAAGAATAGTAAGTCAGGGCGGAAATTATTTAAATCTCATTGGAAATTAAAATGGACTTTTTATATATTTTGAATGTGATGAAAGTTAATTGTTTGCTTTCTAATGGTTCACAGACTAATATGGAAAGAAAAGAATGGGCATTCAAATATCTTCCTATAGCAGTTAATGATAAATACAAGGAGACTTCAAAAAGTTTGTGGAAAAATAAAGTATGAGTTTACTTTCATGCAAAAATTTTTGAAATTCACACATAGTTTTTTATTATATATATTTTCTATTAATTTTTTGAAGATAATTCATATCATGAAAACAAAGGAAAATTTGGTGTGTATGTATAACATTCAAATATCTTCCTATAGCAGTTAATGATAAATACAAGGAGACTTCAAAAAGTTTGTGGAAAAATAAAGTATGAGTTTACTTTCATGCAAAAATTTTTGAAATTCACACATAGTTTTTTATTATATATATTTTCTATTAATTTTTTGAAGATAATTCATATCATGAAAACAAAGGAAAATTTGGTGTGTATGTATAAAATGCAGAACACCAGTTTTAATAATGATGACAAAGGTAAAAACAATCACACATGATGGACTAATTGATTCATTTTCCCACTCGTGAGAGTGGAAGAATCTGTCTAGGGGAAATAAAAAGACGAAAGAGACAGCCAACCCTGTAACTTAGTGGTTAAGGGAGCTGGATCCTACATGACTCACCATGTACTGAGTCCTGCCTTAGTGGCTTGAAAAATATGCTCCAAATTCCAAGAGGATGGAGAAATGGAGAAGGAATTGTAGGATGACCACAGCCCATTGGGCGGTGCTTTCTTTCTCTGTCTCCCTCTCTGTCTCTCCCTAACAAGCACATGTGTTCTCTGGCAATTAAAACAAAATACCATGGAGAGTTGATGAGAATTGGGATGGGGTTTGAAGAACAGGGCACGTGGGACCAGCAGGTGGTACATAGATTAAAGCAGCTAAATCCCGATGCGTGCTAGCATCCCCCAAATCCTGAAAGGAGAATGGAGAAGGAATTACAGTATAGCAGTATAGCCATCCCTCCTGAGGGGTAATTTATCACTCTCTCTCTCTCTCTGGCAAGCATACACACCCTATAGAAAAATTAACAAAACCAATTGAAAAAAGAATAGGGTGAGTAAGCACTTTGTTGCAGCACAACCCAGCAAATTAAGAGGCACCGATAGACCAGAATGAATGATTATTTCCCATGTAATACTCCCAAATTAACTCTACCCACAGGGCATAGTAAATGTGCTGTAGCTGACGCCATTAGTGTCTATGCTGTATCTCCTTAGCCCACTTTTGGTCTCACCTGAAGCCATGGTGGACAGTACCCTGCACACTCCTGGAGTACCAATTCAAGGGCGACATGGCCTCTCAGCTTTTCAGCATCAAAATTTCATTCTGACTGTTGTAGATCCATTCAGTTTTAATGTCCTCAAAGAAAAACTTTAGGCAATGGTGGATGAGTATCTAATAAAATGCTCCAGCCTCCTGTCCTTTGGGGAAGGCAGTTCCAAAGTATAGAATGCTATGTAATTACTTATCAGGTTCGCTGGGAGACTGAGCTTAGTTGTCCACATGGAAAAACAGTTCTTTGTTTTCCTCTTTCCAGGTGTAACTCCCCGCTCCCACCTGCTCCCACCTTTATCTTTCCATAGATAGTCTGTCAAATAATCCTTTTATTCCCAAAAATCTTGTCTCAGATTCTGCTGTCAGGAAGACCCAAACTAAGATACGCTCTCGATTTTATACATATAGCTCCACTGTTTACAAAACTGTTTTATATTCATAATCACCCTTGGAGAAAAGTAAAATGGGATGGGGGTTGGAGGGATAGGCTACTGAATGTTGTCAACTGCTTTTTAGTGATGAGAAAAAGGCTTTAGGTAATCTGAGTGATTCTCCCAAAATCACACAGCTAATAAGTGGCAAAGTCTTCTTTGATGTGCTAAATAGGACCTTGGCAACACAAAAAAGAATTATTTGTTTCCCCGAATGAGTTCTGTGTGCTTTAATTTCATGTATAACCCCAATTTAATGTGTCAGATCTTGCTAGCTTAAAACATCTCAACTAAATCTCATTAATTTGTATTCCATTAATTTATGCTTTTTGATAACTTAGAAATGTAAAAATGAAATTTATTTTCTCTGTAAAAATATTATCTAAGAGTATATATTTTTAATAAGACCAAATCATTTCTGCATCCCTATTGTGTGTTTTTTCCTACTGCTATCATCTTTTAATGTTATATGATATCCAATAAAAGACAAAGAACATTAAGTACGATGTTAGGATGCTTTATTTCTCTTATAATGCCCTCCAGCATCATGAAATCAAACTTCGTTCTGTCTCAAGTTATGTTCAGAGAAGGAACTGCTAGTACTGTTAAAAGAAAAACTTCAGATAATTTAATTTGGTAGAGTTCAATTGACCAAAAAAAAAAAAAAAAAAACAAAAAAAATAAACTATTCAACTTAAGAATCCCAAATGGCTTCCAAGGGATCAAGCATTTTTATGGTCTAGAAAGGGAAAATGACGTATGCAGGAAAGGAAAAGTGACGTAGAAAAATGGAAGTGAGGAAATGAAGTACAGAAATAATTGGTTTGGTTAACAGCTTGATGTTTGCCCACATTAACACAGTTTAAAAGGTGGCCTTTCTGGGGCCAGCAGGTGGCATGGTGGTTAAGGGGCTGGATTCCCACATGACCAATGGTGGTTCCAGTCCTGGATCTGGCGGCTTGCTTTCTCACTTTCTCTCTTACTCTGTCCCTTTCTGTTCAAATAAAAACAACAAAACAAAACAAAAAGGTGGCCTTTCTGTGGTTGACTGAAATGTGACTACGTGATTGGCTATAACTTAACAACTCACTATGGAAGCAGTTTTCCAAGTGAGGTCACAGTTCGCTCACAGAAACTGAAGTAGGAGTACAAAGGCTTTCTCAGGCCACTATACTTTAACAGTACATTTTTTTTTTATCCAATTCTTAGTTTTTTTGAAGTTTATTTATTTATTTATTTATTTATTTTTTGCCATAGGGCACATGTTCTCACCAGAGAGAGAGAGAGGGAGGAAAAGTGGTCATCCCTGGGGGGGATGACCATGCCACAACCCCTTCTCCTCAATTCTCCTCTTAGGATTTTGGACATGGGCACACATGCACACCTGCTCAGCATGACTTTCAAGTTAACCGGGTCTCAGACTTGAAACACACTGAGCCATATAGAAGTCCAGTGCCTTAACTACCTTGCCAAATGCTGGTCCCTCCAATTCTTAATTTTTATTTAATATACATTTATACAATACTAGCTATATATAAGGCCAACCACTATTCTAAATGTTTCACAAATAGTAACTCATTTAATGATCTTAACAACCCTTTAAGGTAGATACTGTCATTATCCTCTTTTTACAGATGAGAAAACTGAGGCACAGGAAGGTTAGTGGTTTGACTCAGGTCATGCTATGGTAAATGGCTAAGTCTGGAATCAAACTCAGGAAACAGCTCTAAAGTCAAAAGTCAGTGTTCTTATCTGCTAACAGCTCTTTGAAAACCTTAATAATTCAACCTCTTTCAATCACCATAACAACCCACACACCATACTATACAGTCAGCAGAGTGAAAGGCTGAAGAGGGGAATTTTAAAGCATGGTTTTTAAGGATGCCCTTCATTCCTAAATCTGTGTAAATAATTAGGTTATTAAGGCTTAGATGCCTCTAATGACCTCTAGATGACTTCATGCACTATATAACTCTTAAGGTACACCCCTCAGCTTTCCCCAAAAAAATTGTTAATGGCAGTTTTATTTTTTCTTTTCAGTGTTTACATGTTTTGCTTTCTAAATCAATTCAATTGTGTATACTTAAGGTATACAAATGATGTTATCATATGCACATACATATATACGAGGTTGCTATATTAAAACAAATGAACATATCCTTCATTTCACATAGTTATCCATCCCCATGCCCAGATAAGAGCAGCTGAAAACAATGGAAGGTTTCATCAATTTACATGCCATTCTTGAGCAGAAGCCATGCTAATCTCTAAATGTACTCATTTTAGTATACATGCTGCCAAGTGAGCAAAATCTATCAGCCTTTAAATAAAATATTATAACTAGTAAACTTTTCCATAGTAAGAAAGAGAATGAATAGAAGGTTTTAAAGTAATTGTTCTTTATCCGAAAGATGAATCACAAAGAAAGAGAAAGCCTACAGATTCCAAAGTTATTTGCCCATTGAAATCCTGTGGAATATTAGGCAACTCTCAGTTTGTCAAATCTTATACCAGTATTAGGATTTGATACAGCCAGCCATGGGGAGAAGAATTTGCAATTATTTCCTGCACTGACTAGAATAATTATTAAACTGTGTAAAAGAGTTATTGTCCAGAATGTTTTCCCTTGCTTCCAAATGCTTTTGCGACTTTTATAACACTTCAGTGTTTTTACTGGTATAAAGTTCTTATCAAAGCATTTAGATTTTCTAAAATAAATTATTTAGCGTTTTATTGTTCCATCAACAGTTTTTCTATATGATCTTTTTTTAAAAAAAAAATTGGCATCTCTCCTGAAATATTCTTATTGTCTGGTTATTTTCCTAATTATCAATGACTTTTTTTCTACATTTAGGCTAGATTAAAGTAATTTTATTATTTTCCATTAAGGTTACTAAAATACCATTTACCTTCCTAGAACATTACTTTCTTTCATCAAGGATTCCTTAGAGTTCTGAAAAAGATTTAACACACTGAGCAAAACACTGAGCTTACAAGGGAGACATATTATTTACTTCCTGAGATTTACTTAGAAAATACTACAAAACCTAAAATCCCCTAGATGTAACAGAACTATTTAACAATACAATAAAATGCACTTCATTGATTTGAATTTGATTTAATTTTATGATCTTATGTTTTATGATTGCCTTGTTTCTTTTTAGGGCTTTAACATCATAGTGTTAAAAGTTGGGACAAAAATAATAAAGTTCAACTTCCTCACTTTACATCTAATGAAATAGATGCCCAGGTAGTTTAAGTTGTTGACGGAAATAACCAACTCTGCAAATATAATAAATAATGCAGTTTATTTTTAAGCACAAATTTGAGTCACCTAGGCCCAGAGAGAAGGCAAAACCTCTCTCTCTCTTTTTCTCTCTCTTTTTCTCTCCTCTCTCTGTGATCAGGTACAGGGGTTCCTTTTGATTTTGAGAGTGAGAGACAAAGTTTAGAATTTAGTTAAGAGCTTTCCATTGGTCTGGCCCAAAAAGTTGAGACAGGTGGGAGGGGGCAGGACCTGTAACAGAGATAAGGGGGCTTATATACAGTCACAAGGTAGTGTCCCAAGGGCAGGATGTTGGAAGAGTTCTGTTAATAAATGAGTCAAAATAGTCTGTTAATGACTGTGGAGCATGACTCATCCATTAGAGGGATACTATGCCAGGGACAGGATGTGGGAAGATTTCTGTTATCAGATGAACCAAAATGGTCTGTTAATATCTGTGGGTGTGACTCACCCCAGGCCCTCTGGAAGGAATTTTAGAAAGAGGAAAGAACAGTCAGACTTCTGTCCTCAAAGTAATTTGTTTTCCTTGCTTCCAATCAAGTGCAGTGCAGTAAACACCTCCCCTACATCATGCCATCTTCATGCTCTTCAAACTTAAGCTTCTCCTTTTTATCGTCAGAAGAAATTTAAGCTTTTTAATGAAATAACATGTATGTTTTTTTTAAGAATTATTTTATTTAACTTTATTTATTATTATTATCATTATTATTTTCCAGTTTGATCAGAGAGAGACAGAGAGAGAGAGAGAGGAAGTGAGAAAGCAAGCCACCAGGTCTGAGACTCGAACCGTGGTTGGCCATGTGGGAGTCCAACACCTTTAACCACCATGCCACTTGCTGACCCCAACATGTATGATTTTTAAATACTTAAGGAAAAACATGTCATGGAAAAAGGAATATTATGAAAATGCTTTGCATGAATGTCAATATTTTTGCAGCAAAATAGACTCATACTTTAATCACATTTCTCATGGACTTTTTGGTGTTTCCAAATGTATACATAAATAAAATATTCACAAATGTTAATTGATCATGATAGTTATAAAGTAAACATCAATAATGTGACTTTATATTTGACTTATAAAGAAAACACTGGCTGATGACTTTAGTTTAAATCCTGGATCTCAAGAAATATTTCCAGAAGTGTCTCTTATTTAATTTGATATTGATTTTGAAAATAAAGCTCTTGTTGGGGAACCATTTAATGTCTATTACACTTTCCACTATAGAAACCATTTGGATGGATATATTGATATATGCAGAACACAATTGCAAGAGTTTTATCATGTATTTATTTGTTCTAAGGGGAGGCATTAAGTCTATATGTAATGAAACAAGCAAGAGATAAGAAATGTTTAGCAAAGAAAGAGAATGTGCTCCTGGAATGTATAAAAGAAAATTTAATTTAATTTAATTTATAAAAAGAAAATCAAAGTAATGGAAAGTACTTGCATGCATAGAGTAAGACTTATCCCATTCAAAATATGGAGAACTGTGGCAAGAAAGAATAAAATGGTCACAATGTAAGTGTCTATTAAAGCACAGGGAGATGATGCCCCAGCAGGTGAATCTAGAATTCCAGTTTGTCTGACTAAAGATAGGTATATTAGTCTATGAATCACTGATGCCATTAAATATCTGAATTGAGTCACTAGCTTTCTTTGTACTTGATCCTATTTTTTTTTTTTTTTACTTCTTAATGATATAGAGAGCATGCACATGTTCACATAAGCATGCACACATGCTTAAGAGAGAAAACATGACAGAGAAAGCACCCTGGTTAGGCTCTCGTCATGCCATCATCCCCTTTCTCCAGCCCTCTTGTGCATCCTCATGCATGTGTTTTCAGGTTGACAAGGGGATGCAGACTCAAGATTGGCAATATGGCTTCCAGCACTGTAGTCTAGTACACTATGGATTCACTGCCTAGGCTAGGCTTTGACCCTATGTTAATTAAGCAACCTTAAGAAAATTGTCCTTGCTTTGTATTTTTTTTTCTAATAAAAGAGAATGTGCTGATTTGATCATTCAGTGCAAATATCCGTTTCATAGGACAATTTTTTTCTTAAAATGTTGTCAATCTACTGAGAGTAGACTTAGCAGAATTAGTCTTCATGATCCTCAATATTTATGTGGTGATTCTGAACACTTATATGCTGTAAAATCAAGAGAGCATATATAGTATCATGGTTAATTCACCGAGATAAAGACAACGAAGACACTACACGAGACATTTGAGAACTAACCAGCCAGCTTTCTTTGTGGACACTAAAACCTTCCCAATTACTTTACTTTCAGGTTTCCAGAACAGCCATTCATTTCTTTTTAAGTATACCTTTTTTTTTCTCCATATACCTAGTTTATAAACATACCCCCAGTACTTATAGTTTTATGACTAAATTCAAGTAAAGTCATTCAAATTAGTATATGGCACCTTGCTACTTTTAGCTAGAGACTCTGAACTGCTGTTCTTTGGTAAAGATTTTGTAAATTAACAGGTTGGAGATTCACTAGTGTCTTGAAGGTTCTGGCTACCTGTGTTAAAATTTAAAAAAAATTGGGAACCAGCAGTTAGAGTAATGGCTATGTTGCTGGACTCCAACGGAGTCGACCGCGGTTCATGTCCTGGACCCGGTGGCTTAAAACTCACGCCGGGCGTGTGTGCGTGCGCGCCCAAGATCCCGAGAGGAGAATGGAGGAGAAGGGATTGCAGTGTGGCCATCCTTCCTGGGGGGTGATTTCTCGCTTTCTGTCTCTATGTCTCTCTCTGTCTGTCTGGCGAGCGCACACGCCCTATAGCAAAAACCTCTCCAA